AGACTGTGGGGGGCGATATGCTGACTCTGTAAACCGCTTAGAGAGGGCTGAAAGCCCTATGAAGCGGTATATAAGTCTAACTGCTATTGCTATAGCTAAACTCGAATTGTTTCATGGGCCGGATTGTGATGTATTACAATGTTTTTTGTTTTTGCGAACCCAGGGTGGGCATGGCTTATGTGTGACTTATCCAGCCTGTGGGCTTCCACAATCCTGTTCTAACAGATCACCCTACTCAAGAGCGTCAAACTCAAGGCCCGTGGGCCAGATCCAGTCCTTGGTTTGCTTAGATCTGGCTACCATGGAAACATCAACGGACCGGCATACGGTGCCTTGGCCCAGCCCAGGCTGACTGGGCACTGATCTACAATCTGGCGTGCTGTAGGACGCCATGGCAGCTGAAAACGGAGCTGCGCCTGCCCCTCCTGAGTTCTGTTTGCACTGACAGAATACCGGAGGGAGGCCGGGGTGGCTGAAAATGGATCCCTCCAGCCCAGGTCACCACAGGTGAGCCAACATGAGTGGCATGCCCACCCTGGCCACACACACCCTGCCCCCCCCCCCCCAAGGTAAAACATAATCCTGATGCGGCCCTCAATGAAATTGAATGACAGCCCTGACCCTACTGGATGTTTCATGAAAGGATATCAAAGATAAAGAACAACCCAAAAGTAGCAGGAGATCTGAAATCCAATGAAATAAATCCATCACCTCAATTACTGATATTAAAAGGATTGCATCGTATTTTAGTGAACGGGTTGCGGCTGCTAAATCCTCAAATGGAAAAATCGTGATTTCTTACTGAGAAGGCAATAATCCCAGGCAGGTAAGCAAGCTCATTGATTTCAAGAAGTTTATACTGTTTTGGTTTGTGGCCATCAAGTAAATATTAGAACAGTGAAGATAAAACGGTCTTGAGTCTTGTAAAAAGAGTAATCATAGTTAGATTCGGGAAAGGCTTCAGTTGATGATCTTGTTAGTCAAAATAACAATAATAATAATAACAACAACAATAAATTTATCGGACTTGAACATTTTTTTCTACAAAAAACCACCCTTCTTGGAACAGCTTTTATCCTCCAACGTTACCTTAACTGTTCCTAGGTCCTTGCTTAGGACTCGACCTGTTGAGCTACCAACCAGCCCCAAAGGCTATGAATCTCACCAAAGATTAACCAGTAATAATAATAATCATCATCATCACTGTCCCATCCTCTTTTGGAAGAATTTGTGTTCAAAATCTCTGTAGTTTTCTGGGTATTTCCAAAAGGTATAACCTACCGTTCCCATTATAAACTTTTATGTATATCCCCAAGGAAAGGACTCACCGTCCACACATTCTGTTGCCATTGCAATGTTCTTCACAGCCATTTATTTGGGTCTGCTAGGAAAAAGGCAGATCAGAAAGAGTTTGCAATCAATAAGGTAGAGGGAATTTCCAGACTATAAGAAATTTCCCTGCTTTTCTGCAATAGAGGTTTCCTTAGTGAAATTTCAGCCAACCTGACATGGTGCTGGAAGAGTGCTAATATTTTAATTACATAGCCTATTTGCATACTGGTAAGTCTCTACTTACAACAACTGTTCAAAGTTACAATGAACCTCCTGCCCTAAAAGTTACTTACAGCCTGTTTTCAAAGTTACAATGGCTGCCCCTCCCTTGCTACTACATGATCACATTTTTGGGTCTTGGAAACGGATGCACCTGTATGGCCGTGGTCATGTGACCATAAATTATGGGGTTTTTTTGGCTGAGTTTTAGCATTTGCCTCCTGTATCTGGCAACAAAAACCCCACCTATTGCCCAATGACTGCATCATTTGCTTAATGACCATCACAAAAATAAAAACATAAATAAAAATTAAAAAAATCAGGTCACATAATGCTTTGCCTTATGACCGCAACAAGGAATGGCTGTAATTCCAGGCTCAATTATATGATGAATAGACAACTGCCCCAATGTATTTTTTGGTTTCGTAGGACCATTTCGCAGGAGGATGTTCCTTCAAGAGTTTATATTAGAGTTTCAGTAGAGTTTATGATTGGTTATACAGGTTATATTTTGACTGGAGATATGAGGAAGTTAAGGTTAGGAGACGACTTTACTGAAGACAGATTAATAGGGCAAATTGTATTTTTCGGACCATTAGACGCTCCACAGTATAAGACGCACCAAGATTTTGAAGAGGTAATTTTTAAAAAAAAGTTTTTGTACTCTGCAGGCTTCCCAAACCCTTTGCATGCCTCGAGTTTTTTTAAAAAGAAAAAACAGGGCATGCATTGAGCTTCAGAGGCCTGCAAAGTGCTCCTGGGGGCTGGGGGCAAAAACGAGCAAAAAAAGGCCCGTTTTTCATGAAAACAGGCCCATTATTTTTTTTTGCAAAAACAGGGCATGGTGAGGGCTTGGGGGGGGGGGGCTTGTAGAGTACTCCTGGGGGCTGGAGGGGGGGGAACGAGCAAAAAAATGGCCCGTTGCTCATTTTTGCCCTCCCCAGCCCCCAGGAAAGCTTTGCAGGCCTCCCAAACCCTCAGCACGTCCATTTTTGCAAAGGGGACAGGGTTTCAGGACGCCAAAAATGTTGTATTTAGTGTATAAGACGCACTCAGATATTCACCCTCTTTTTGGGGGGAAAAGGTGCTTCTTATACTCTGAAAAATACGGTAGATCTTCATTTTACATTCTGTGGTAGTTAGATTATGGATGAGATTATTTGCAAAGTACTTCTCTATTGGAATATAAAGAAGTGAGGATTAGGGTTTTGATTAATTTAGGACTTGGTTGTCTGTCTTTCTGTCTGTTTAGGTACTTTTTTGATTGATTGATTGTTTGGCATTCGTCTTATGGGGCACAGTGAGATAGGACTGGATTGAGGACTGTTTTTTAAATATCAAATACACATTTAGCTCACCCCTACATTGGACAGGATGAGAGCTCAGACAACAAAGACAAGGAGAATGCTGGGTAGAAAAAAATCTGGGTCTGCAAAAAAGAAAAAAGTATAGAAATGATTATGATACCTCAGAAAAATCTTCCGGCAAAGATGACCCATCATAGTCTGTGTCCTCTGATTTCTCTTCCAAAAGTTTCCCATTGGTCTCTGCAGAAAGAGAAACACACTGTAGGAAAAAACGCCAACATGAAAAGTACAGACTGACTTTAATTTGCACACCAAATATAAATGCATGCATACCCATCTGTTGTAAAATAACAAAGGCCTGGAAACCCAGACAGTCACTCCCAATTAGGGATGAACTGGGAAAATAAATAGGGACAATATGGATGGGATGGGGGGGGGAGGAACCCACATTAGTTTTGGAGACTTAATCCTCTTGTTTCCCACTGAAAAAACATGGAAATTGTGTTGTTGTTAGTCAACAGTTTGCCACCAGCTTTGCAACAGGATAATCCTGGAGGATTTTAGAAGGTGCAGACTGCCAGACAAGCTGAAGGCTGCCCATCCGTTCCGTGAAGGTTTTTTTGTGATTAAAAACAAAGACAAAACAAAGAAGTGCAAAAAAACAAGAAGACAATGTGAAGAGCAACAAAATATAGACCTTTGTACAATTCCATGCATAATGGTGCACAACTGAAATCTCAGTCAAAAGTCCCTTCAAGTATCTTAAAAGTTCAAGTACACAGTGGCGAGAAACCACAGAAAGTCAAAATGACTATTGAAATTTACATTTCTTAAATTCCCAATAGAAAGATGCTTCAAAATTCAGACACCATTACCCAAAAGTCATTTTTCTTTCAAGAATAAAAAAGTATGTGCAGAAGAGCCCTTCCAACGTACAATACATTAATATTTGCTTTTCCAGATTTGTTTTTAGATTGGGCCTTCCCATCTGTAACTGAAGTGCCAAATGACAAAGGGTTGCAGCTGTTTCAAGACAAAAAAACTTAAAACAAAGATTTCTTGAAGCAACTCTGGTTCTATTCATCACAAATACTAGAAAAAAATGCTTCCCAGGATTTTAACATTTTTGCAAACCAAATTAGCATTGAAAAGACATCTGCTCCATATGTATATATTAATGATCTGATAAATGCTCCACTCTCAGAAAAAATAATCTTGCAAAATCACATCAATATGGAACTCCTCGTACTTTATGGTGTGCAGACCTTATAACCTGTTTTTTTTTCTGAGGTTTTAACTTAGCCATACCTGCATGATGGGTCTCAGATGCAGAATTATTACGATTTAGCAGATTCTGAGCTTCTTCGTCGACAACATCTAAAAGGTACTGAATAACTTGATTGTGATCATCCTCATCGTAAGAATCTTCATCTTGGACTTCTGGTATAAAGAAAAACCGAACATTAATATTATTGGTGGGGAGAAATCAAGATAATACAAAAAGTTTCAGTTAAGGACTGATTGTGATTCTCTCTTGGGAATGGATCAGTGGTGGGTTTCAATTTTTTTTAGAACCTCTTCTGTAGGTGTGGGCTGCTTTGTGGGAGTGGCTTGCTGGCCATGTGACTGGGTGGGCGTGGCCAACATAAATTTGGTGAAACTCACTTAACAATGCTCTTGCTTATCAACCAAAATGTTGGCTCAGAAACTCTGGCATTGAAGTGTACAAGTCTTAAAGCTGTCATGTTACAAGACCCTCACACCCCTAACCCTTTAGAAAGAAAAAACCCAGGGGTGTTCAAACTTGACAGCTTTAAGACTTATGGACTTCAACTCCCAGAATTCCTCCTCTCGCTCTTCATCTTGATGATGTGCGGACGGGCGGGGGAGAGGGAGCTGGAACCGGTTCTAAACGGCACTGTAGATTTGTGGAACCTCTTCTATAGAAGAGATTAGAACTGGCAGGAACCCACCCCTGGAATGAATCTATTTTTCTGATGTGCTATGTATGAGTTTTGCATTACATCATCCTAAGGGGACGATGTCAGGGCCTGGCCCAAAGATGATACAATGAGATTCAATTCAAGTTTAATTTGCTTACACCCAATTGACAGGGCCTTGTCAAACTAAAGTCATAACCTTCTACCCTACATCCTGAGAGATTCTAGGATGCGGCTATCCTTCATCCCTTCTTCCCTTTGCTATCCAGCTGGGGATAGTTTCCTAAACTGGGCCTCTCTCTGGGAATGCTGTGTGTTGCCAAAACTCCAGCTCCCCCTGCCTCTCTGGGTGCACACTTCATAAGATATGATTAAAGTTCTACCCCTAGAATTTTTAGGAAGCAGGACCATCACTGAGAATTCTGGGAGTTGAAGCCTGCACATCTGGGGGTTGTTTGAACTAACATTTTCTGCACTACCAAAGTTAATGCATAAAACAGTGGTGCGTATGATTAAACATTTGTAGTGGCAACATACATTAATATAGGATGAATCCTTCAAAAAGAGTATCATTCTCATAATGTTGTTTCTTTATTATATTTTTATCCTGCCTTTGTAAGTAACTCAAGGTTGGGAACATATATAATATTTCTTCTCCCCCACCCCCCAACCACCACCTTGTGAGGTGACTTGTCTAAGAGAGAGTGATTTGTTCATAGTCACTTAAGCTTTTGTGCATAAGGCAGGACTAGAGCTCACAGTGTTGGGAGAGCGAGTACGTTCAGCGAAGCATTGTTAGAGTTGTGTTGGAGAACGTACATACCAGCATACAGGGACACTGCAGTTTAAATAGGCTTTTACTTTTGTGGAAATAGAGGTATCAGAGTCTATCAAACAGTCCAAGTCAGATAAGACAGTCAATCATCAATGTCTTTCAGTTAAGGGATAGTCCAGTATCATATAATCAGTTCAGTACTCAAAGTTTGCTAGCAGTTGCAAAACTTACACTAGCTTACAGCACTTTCTAACAATGCTTCGCTGAACGTACTCGCTCTCCCAACACTGTGAGCTCTAGTCCTGCCTTATGCACAAAAGCTTAAGAGACTATGAACAAATCA